GAGCAGAAGTTGGAGAATTATTTTTTTTTGCCTTTGGATGAAAGTGTCACATATTTCGAAAATAGGAAATTAAAAATTTTTTCTAATCGCTGCTTAGGGGGGTCCCGGACGTGTTATAATTACCGGAAAAATCTTCCGATAGTTCACTGTGGCATTATACCACAAGGACAAATAGGAAAACCAAGTATGGATCTAACTTACGTGCAGGCAGTTTTAACCTCAAATCGCTGCGGTCTTAACGAGCAGGAGGAACCGTGAGGCGGTTGAAAGCATTAAAAACCTCCCCTTTCTTCCCCCTTTCTTCGCAGCGTGCTGCAGTCAAGTTCCCTTGCTGTCATCGCTAAACCGCTTGATTAGTGCCTCTTTTTAAATGATCACGTGCCATTATCGTTTGGAAGAAGCTTTATGAATTGACTTGTGATAGAGAGGGGTTATTTTTTATGAGGAATATCATTGGAGTGTGGCATTTTCTTTACATCCACGAAAAAAATGCTTACTTCAACACGAGATAACAATTTGTACAGTACTTTATCCCCGCAGAATGGAGAAGAGAGCAATTAGGGGTCTGTCCACGGTGTCGGATGTCACATCCGGACTAATACTTTTAGTATACAAAATGTATTTAACTATATTATGAATGACAAATCAGCTTGTAAAGACTGCAACAATTTGCTTTGGGTAGTGACGGAAAATTCCATAACCCAGAGTCTAACACTCCTTCTATCGTTACAGGTGTACGTACGTGCAAATAAAAGTGTCGGACGTGACGTTTCGTGAACTTCAAGTTAAAGTCACTTGCACTAACGTTCACATATCTGTCATCGAGCGGATCCTAATAATTTTAGTTTCATGTTCATTCTTTAAATTGAATGAAAGCCTGGAATTACTGTAATCACCCCCAGATTCGGTTGACCTGAAACAGAAAATAAGCCTATTTTTTAACGGTGTCGGATGTGACAGGAGAGTGGATGGATGGATAAAGTGCGATCTGCTCTGCCGCAATTGCGCCCAAGAAGCTCGAGAAGGCCTCCCTCTGGTCGTGGATGTAAACCTCCATGTTCTTCGGCTCTTCCTGCTCCAATTCCAATTTCATGAAGAAGGAAAAAATGTCATGGCAATTTTTGCATCCACTCGATGTAGGAGGGAGTCATGAGAATAGAACGAATTTTTACTAAGTACTTCAGATACAATAAACACATGAAGTCATGTGAGAAAGGAAATTTTAACTTGCGTATGTTGACGTGAGGATGGAAATTCAAATTAAATCGGAGAAATATTAAGATGTAAGAAGTGGGCGCATTTCATGGAATTGGTGTCCATCTCATAGCTTATGTAGTACCGACCCGAAAGGGAACGTACGCAAGGCACTCATTCTCTCTGAATGAGTCAGCAGAACTCATCCTTAGGTGTGTGTACAGACACGTCAAGTGTATGAATAGGTGCGGATAAGGAAATCCTTGGAAGAACCGTAGAAGATTCCTACTCACGCAGTAGGTGCTCCCGACCTCGTCTCTGTTCAGCTTAACCTTCATCGACATAGACCTACATAAACGTGGCCAGAACTACCTGAGTAAGTTCTCTTCTCACTTCGTAAACATTATACGATATTATACAGTAGGAACAGAACGTATGAGAAAACCGTCCTTTCAATCAACTGCGATCACCAAGTATTCGTGTCGGATTGGGCTATCGTAGACAACAGTCAATGTGAGGTGTGAACCATTTCTAGTTTAACCTTGTTTAGAAGAGTTAAGGCGCTCCATCTTGACGCAGTCAAAATATCGGACTCGTGAGAAAGCTATTCGATACATGCAGCTGGCCATTGCCGAACACTCGCTTAGGTAGGAAAAGCCCTCTTCGGTCGAAGGTTTCACCGTGCGCCTTGTCGATGGTCATGGCGAAAGCCAGCCGAAATGGGAACGGCTGGCGGACTTTAGAGTGAAGGTCGGGTTCGTGTCGGAAAGAGGCAGGTGAATCCACGGTGTGAGAACTCGTTTCCCTTTGCATCTCCAATTATCCCTTCAGCATCGATTAGGTTGTTCGTTATGAGACGGACGATCGTATGCGTCCTGTTGCATACCCCTTGTTATGCGTTATTTGAGGTTGCGAAGGAGCTTCATGACGGCACCAGATTTGAGTTTCGGCTCATTAGGTGGCACTCAAGATGGGGGTCAAACTGTTGAGAAAATCCACTGGATGATAATTTTTATCATCGGGATCATCACATACGACAGAGTCGATAACGATTTAGATCTTGGATTCACCGAATCCGAAATCTAAATCTCACCGAATCTCGAATTAGAACTTCTTCGTTCTATTCAGTGCCTCTCCTTTCTTGGGGCAAAGGATGGTCTCGTTTTGTATTAAATCAAGGTGTGCAGGATCGACGATTTTGCCGAGGACGTTGTTCATGATGTTGTCATTAACCGCACATTGCTGATGTAGCGCAACAGCGTAATCAGAGAACTAATTCAAAATCGAGAGGCGGCCTTCTCCGACAGACAACAGTCTTTCTGAGAATCCCTTCTGCTCCCGTTCCGCTCTCATGTTTATTGAAAGTTTCAGGGAGTACTTTTCACCGGTTTCTCCCTTCGTCGTTCCCACCGCATGAATAACGGCAACGCTTACTACACTTGCTAGACCTCAGGGGTGGTTCTTGGTCCTCAAACGGCGGCTTTCCATGAATCGATAAATTAATGTCGCGAAGCATCTGTCGAGAGCGTTGCTTCATGGGTGAGCCAAGGGTGTTTCATCACATACCAAGAGCCTGGAAGGCCTCAATTCATCTAGTTCCTGGCCTTGGGGACGGAAACTTAGAAGGGGATTGGGCAGTTATACCTCACTCTGACAAAGTTGCCGTTATTCTAGTCCAGGCAACAGGCAATACGGTTCTTTCTTCTCCCCTCACGATGTGGATTAGCGCATTGTAAAGGAAAGTCTTTCCTGTCAATTTCGAAACGCCTTGAGAAACCTGGGGGGTTGTTTTGTCTCATGCTCTCAAGGATGACGTCGACCGTTGCACGTTGCTCTTCATTACGTATGGCATAAATTCGTTTTCCCACTTCTCTTTTTGCAGCAACGTCGTAATCTAATGTGTCACAGGTAATGTTATTTTTTGTCTCAAGAAGTTGGAAAGATGAACATTGGAAGCCGTGAGTTTGCAAGGAATACCACCCAATACTAGACGTGAACTTGAAATGAGCTTCAGATTTAAGCAGAGAGAGAATCTTCCCCTCTCTCTCCCTCTTTCCCCTTTCTCTTTGGACCTGTTTCAAACGGTCAAACCTTTACATTTTACAAGATCAGTGTAGGGTGAGTCGAGAGTACCTTACGTAAGAGTAGGGGTAGAGTTCCGCACCTCTTGGGCCTCATCGGCTTCTCGCTTGCGGGCATCAAATAACAAATAATAAATAATAAAACGCGGGGTCCGCGCAAATAGAAGTCCCGCGCTTCACTCTACTTCATGGTGATTTCGGGGAAGCAAAGCCCTGGTTCAGCTTCAATCGCTGGCATCATATAATGTTTCACACGCATAGATGGCTATACTTTGTGCTCGGGGGTCTCACAATCCTGAGAACGGAGGGGCCTAGAGTCGGATAAAAGGACCCAGCACAGCCGGGTTTCGGACCGTGGTCCCCCCCCCCCGTCACGGGAGGTACCACAGAGCTACTAACTTAGCCCCGCCTCTTTTCGAGACATCCACACCATCGAGGAGCTCAAAATCTGCGTTTCGTTGCCTTTACTCTATACATCCAGAGTCACCAAAGTTCGAGAGGTAGCTGTCGTTTAAGCGAGCCTAGGCTACTCGCCCTCTCCTCCTCTTCCCAGACAAACCACGGCAATGTTGTATAGTTCTCCTCGATAGGGTCCAAAGTACCTCAAAACACTATCCGTTCATTCTGTCTTCCTCGACTACCTATGTTTCCTCATCCTAATGATTTTACAATCGGCTGATTTACGCATTGGAAGTAGCAAAGAAACAGATGGAGACACGCGATGCGCCACCCGCAAGATAGTTAGCAAGAACCCAGCGTCTACCTTAACCAGGCTTACTTCTCCAGGGGTTTACTTCATCACGTTCTTAGACTTTGTAAAAAGAAAGTGCTCTTGGACTGTCTGGACGACAGCTGCTATCTCCAGGGTTGAACCCCAGATAATTTTTAATTCGATAGTAACTCGAGGTTATTTAATACCTCATCTTGGTTGAGACCCTCTAAATTTGCCTCCTTTGATCGTGGCCGAAATTAGCAAAATTAACAAAATTAGCACTTTCGGATTCCCTATCCCCTCCTTTATTCTTCGTGCCATTTAATTATAAAGAAAAGGATTCCTCGTTATATTAATAGATTTGGCTCTTAGCGTTAAAGAAAATCCTCGGGCTTTCGAAGAACGATAAAATACCTGAGAAGAAGGAAGGAAATGGGCTTCTTCCTGCCTTTTTTTCTGAGACAAAGCGAGACAAATGAATTGAATGAATCCACGAATAAGGAAAATATCCTAGTTCTATTTGAACGCAATCTTCGAGTCCTATATTAGCTCTCGGTCCGTTTTTCCCACAAGGTCATACGTATTCAGTGATGTTCATTCGGGGGAGTTTTGATTCCTATCGTGATTGATTCTACTCAATTCTACTCCCCTCCCCTTCCCACCCTTCCAAGCGCAATTCTGGTCACTTTCATGAGACTGATTTGCATCGCATCGAAACCTGACCGCGATACGAGCAATTCTTAGAAAAATAGAGTTTTTGGCATCACTGAGTTCAGAATACCAATCTGTATTTCCTGTCAAAAATACATTTGCTTATCGTTCGCCGTTTAGAATTAATGGGATTCTAAAAGGGCATTCGAGCCCATCGGACTTCAAAACCGTATTTTTCATGAATTTTTTTTTTTCGTGTATTTTTGAAAACTGATAATAGAAAGCACTTATCTTAGAGATAGCGTATGATCTTAGAGGTTTGTTTTGGGAAAACGTATGGGAAATTGTTAGGATGTCCAAATATGAACCGTATACAATTTCTTCGACAGGGTCCCGAAGTTCCTCCAAACACTATCCGTTCTTCCTCTCCTCAACTACAACATATATCCAGCAGCACACGTTCACCAACCGAAAACTCCAATCAGGCCCTCCAACAGCCTCTCAAAGCGTTCCTGATGTTTGTAGTTTTTTTGTGGCTGCGCGGGGGGGGGGGGGGGGGGGGGTTGGCAATAATAGGGTAGCGCATGAAGGAATCTCCAATCAAGACGCCTCTGCACAGCCTCTTTCAAGGAAGTATATGATGCTTCACTGATTTGATTCCCAAATCTTAGCCAAATCAATCTCGCAATTCCGCAGGTTTCATCTTTCCTGCAGCCAAATTCCTCTTGCGCTACTTAATTCGTAATTCTAGAAGTAGCCATTTATTAAAAATATGAAAATCTATTGTCATTCATGTTGCTGAAAATAAACTCTCTAAAGCCAGAAACGATTCAGCCCCATGAAGTCAGAAAAGAGTGAAATTTTCAGCCATCCCTGGAATTACCCACCTGTGACCTACTGGGGATGAAATCACCAACTTCAAATGATGAATCATTTTTCCTAGGACATTACCTCACTCAAGGATATAGGCCAAATCGAGATTAACGCAGCCTTTCATGGTTCACCATTTTTGAAAAATCGGTCAGATTTTTTAAATACAAAGTTGAGGAAATTTCAATTTTGTCTATTTTACAGTATCAAAATTGTATTTTTGCTCTCCCCGTCTACAAAATGTCGTTAATTTCCGTAAGTTTGAGTTCCTACGTTTGTGTAAAAATGTTTGGAACAAATCTGAGATATTTTGGCCTATTATTGCCTGCTAACCCACTGTGGGCTGTGGGAATACATCATGTGTGATATACACACCTGGGTCAAGTTATGTGATGCAGTATCGTCAACGTGTAGAAACCAATTATTTCTATTCATATTTAAAAAGTTAGACTGTAGCCAGAGGGGATTTTTCCACTTTTGTGGAATGAAGAGCTCCATTCCATCGTTTGGAACTACTTCGTAGTTACTGTGAAAAAAAACGTATGCAAGTAGAGTGTGAAGGATATGAAATTCAATGGCGTAGTGCCACCTGCGTAACTGTGAAAGATCCGAGTATAAAGTTCACAAGGGGACGTCATCAATAAATATTTGCTCACCTTGACATTGCAACAGTTCCTAATGCGAATATGATTGGTGATAGTATATTCCGTAGAAGAACCCTGACGTAACGATAATCATAACGTAAAAAAAAATACATTAGAAGCATCAAATGCAAATGCATATGAGAACCTAGCATTGTGAATAGACAGCGAGAAAGAATTTCTCAGGCACCAACACAGCTCGAATTTCACCGTCTTCATGTCTGGTAAACATTTTTTAAATTTTAATCCTGACATCAATTTCATGCTGCTTATCTCATTTTCGACAATCTCAAGCATCACCAAGATATTCAAAATAGGGAAAACCCTTATCAAAGACAAATATTGATAATTGCCTGTTTTTATCACTTGTAACTTCTTTTGACACAGTATCAGGATGGACACCTGAGTAAGCTGAACTTGACTCGGCTCGTAATAAAATGGGGTGGAATGACATTTGGATATGCAGTATTGACTCCTCCATGCCAGAATGAGTATCTTCGTCTTCATTTCTCTTCTGCTCTTCGCCGTTCAGGTTAGTCTTTCAATCTCTTTATGAGCATTTTCGTGAAGGAAATTCTTCCATACCATGGAACATGAAGCCCTCAAAGGGAATGGTATATGAATTCGGTCGGTGGAATGGGAGGAGGACTTTTCTCATAAAGTTCCTGACTATCCTCGTGAAAATGTATTCTATGAGTGTGTTTTTCCATGCAAATTCGTTCGTTAAAGGAGAAAACTCAATATTCATAGGAACTATCATGTGATGAAAGAAACTAGAGAAAGTCTTTTTCTCAGAATCTTAAGGAGTTTCCAGTTCTTCATTGAGAAAGTAAAATTTTAAAAGAACATATGAATTTCACTTATTTGATCCATACTCCACTCGTGCCCATAACTAGGGATATAATTTTGAAAGTATATCTGAACTTTCTTGATTTTCAGGCGATGCCAGGAAATCCGGTCTCAAAAGGTGAGCTTAAAAAATATGCAGATCTTGGTCGCATAAAATAATGAATAAGACAGATGTGAATACCGATGTCATACGTTTAGGCACCGGGCTGCATGAAAATTTGAACGCGACATCAAGCGTGGCCCTGTCAGCAAGGAGCTTCTTTTACTTCGAATCCCCGAACTACCCCTACGACTACAACGACAACGATTACATTGCCTGGTCTTATTCGGTGAGGATGAGAACCCTGATTGGGGTTTTTCATCTCAGTCTGGTATAATGCGAGTATTTACACATTTCATTCTTGTGGCTTTCCAGTGCTCGAGACCGATGACGCTGGAATGTCCGGACATTCAAATCGACCGGAGTTACGGATATTGCAGTGATGCACTCCTCATCTCGGACAGCGGGCACATCACGTTAGTTTTTTTTAATAGTACAGGGTGATCCAACGAGAAATGCCCTACTTATTTCTCAGGAGAATAAATATTATACTGACGACACAAAAGTACGTCAGTTAAATTGAACACTTCGTTTGTATCATTAGATAGGGAGCCATCACATCAGTATTTCATAAAGAACAAAAAAAGAATGCTAAAAAAGTTAACGTATTGTATTCTTCCACATAAGGTAATTCTCGTCGAATCGCCCTGTATTATCTTTCCATATTTGATGAAGTATGTTGAGGACTGCTGGAATTAACTTCCATTCCTCTTGTAGATTGTGCGGCAGCACATCCCTGACATATGTGACCCCTCCGAACACAATGCTGTCCATAATCTTTTCGACTGATTCCTATGGGACGGCGAGTGGTTTCCGTTGCAATGTGTATTGCAATTAATAGCCGGGGAATAAATGGAATGACCTCGCTCATTCTTGAAACATTGCAGGCAGAAATAAAGATTGCTGTGGACCACTTATTTATTCTTCTCGAATGGAGATGCTTCAGTTGGAAGGCAAAACGTTTCGAGTATATAGTTTTCCCGGAAATTGTTAGTTCCGATTGATCCAGTTCAAAGATGCTATGATTGGTCATCATATATTAATTTCATATAACTCTGAAAAACGACTGTATTTTCTCGAAAATGCCCAACTCCTTGTAATTCTCCGAGGTTTTCACCGAACGAATGAACCACGCATCTGAGGATCCAATACCGGCCGCTCCATCCCCATGCATCTTGGAATCGTGGGCGGCATATATTCAATAGGATTGGCTGACTATAAGGAAGCAAAATATCGTATGTACGCACATTTTGTGGATAGGCTATTACAAAAAAGCCGCGGTAACAAAAAAGTCCTATAAATAAAAAGTCCTTAGAATTTCATTAGGAATTCTAATGGTTCCATTATATGATTCTATGGGTTTCCTATTATGTACGATCCTCCCGATTCGAATTCCTTTTTTTCATTACCGGCACCCACGTATGCTAAGGGGCAAAAGGGGGCTCCACACTCATTTCATTCATCTATCGCGCCAGTTCGTACATGTGATGTAAAATGAAGGATTGGACCCTGCGAGAGAGCACCTATTTGGAACGAGGGTACCCTCGTTTCTTGTCGTAAGATAAAAAAAAGGAAAAACGAGGAGATGCAGACACAGTTTGGTATGGGATGCTTTTGCTCGGCGGGCTGAAGCTGACCCGGTTCTCCTCTCCTCTCCCCTCCCTTCCCCGCATCCCGTTTCTTTGTTCCTCCCCCTGCCTGCCGATATTTCGGCCACGTGTAATCGTACTAAAAAGTATCAACGGTCAATTTTTTGCCACGCATCTGAACGCCCGCAGCACTCTGAGGCCTCAAGATCTATTTCAAAATGTAATTTCTGGCTCCTTTTTGTGTAACGTATGCCAGCCTATGACAGCGCAACGTCCAGTGTATCAGTAGAGTCTGGCGGCCATTTCTTCTTTGTAGTTCTCTCCTACTGCGTAGCTAGTCCTTTGAGGTCTTATTACGTCATCAAATGGAAGATTCGCATCCCTTCCGTATATGAGATAAAATGGACTCTCCCTGGTACTTTCTTGAGGAGCATTCCCATTTGTAGTGTTTACCTAAAGGACTGCTCCTCAAGAAAGTACCAGGGAGAGTCCATTTTATCTCATATACTAAATTCTTCGCGAAAGGATTCCCACATGAGGAGATAAATTATGAGGACGAAGAAAAGCAATATGGACCATTATTTCCGCGTGAACGAGAGGATTTGATGGGAGAAATGGAGGAGGAGGAAGAAACCGAGATGAAGCCAGAAGACACACGTCAGGAGCAACCAGAAGGAACGTCTCTCCATCCATCGAAAATGGAAGAAGAATCATTCTTCTCAGGGATAAAGGAAGAGCCAGAGGAAGCAGAAGTGTCGTTACCACCCAAACCACCACGTCAAGGGAGACAGCCACCACCAAGACCGGGGCCGAGATATTCTCTCCGAAGCAGAGCAGAGGTAGAAGATCATGAATGGGGAATGCCCCTGCCTACTAGAAGTCGAGGAACGAGAAGTAAGGAAGGAGATACCTTAAAACCAGCTCAGGCCGTGATAATGCAACCTACAAGAACAGGCACAAGTTCTTCGTTAGTTGACAAAATGATTTGGCTCGTTCAGGCGTTTGAACATCAATCACAATAGATACCTAATCGTCTTGGGCAGGACATTAAACTGCATCCAGCCAATAAGATTTGGGGTGATCATTCGGGATAGTAGGCAATTTTTCATTTAAATCGACTCAGTTTCAGGTAATAAAAAAAATTAGCAGTTAAGTGATGCGATGGAACTCAGAATTAAAGGTAAGGATGTCCCTTTTCAGATGGATTTGAGTGCGTTAGTGTGGCTTTGCCACATGATTCTAGGAGTGACAGCCAAGGACCAGAAATGGATTGCATCGCCGAGGGAGATAATGGACATGCAATTCAGAGAAGGGTTGTTCTTCCTAAAACGGGGAGATTTCATTTTGTCAGGAGACAGATGGATTCTAGTAGTCGATCTTCCATTTCCACCCTATATCAACTCCACCACAACTTTGATTGGGGAGTTAGAGAGGTACATAAATTGGATTGATGAAGTCGTTCTCCCATACCCAGTCAACAACCAGGATGCACCCACGGGAACTGTAGCAGGTCGGAATTTCCTAGCTTATGACTTTCCCCGGACCAAATGATGAAGCCATGCGAAATTTTGTCGGACAAGGATCAGAGGCGTGGCCGTGCATAAAGGAAAGACGCACAAACATTCAGAAATATGGTATAGATAATTGCAAAATATTGTTTTTAGTTAACTTTATTGACCTTACTAGTTTTTAGTTGCCTCAAGCAGATTCATTTAAGTTTCATTACCGAACCTGGAAATTACATTTCCCTAAAAATCTCTACAGATTAAATCGGGACCCAGTGGACTACCCCCCCTCTCCCCCTCTCCCCCTCTCCCCCTCCCCCCTCTTCCCCTCTCCCCCTCTCACCCTCCACTCTCTCTCCTTCTCACCCTCCCCCCTCTCCTCCTCACCCCCTCACCCCCTCCCCTCCTCCGCCCTAGCTCTGTAACCATATCAATCTGTCCCCTTTGCTTTCCTAGAACCATTTTCTACATGCGAAGGATTCATCCAGAACAAAGATAATGCATACAAAATAATAATGATAATGCATAGTCCAATGCATACAAAAAAATGTGAATCCGGCGAAAGTGAAAAAAAAAAGGATTTCGACTGCTGAAAAGAACGAACGTGAGAGTCTCGGAGGAGCAGCGGGACAGGTCTGCTGGGCACTCGCATCGAGACACAGAAGGAAGGCAAGAAGCGGGGAGGCCGAACGGCTTCATTGCGCCGCACTGAGCGAATAAGAAACTTTCCCTCTCTCTCTCGCCTGCTGCTCAGCCAGCGAGAGGAATTTCGGCCGACACTTTTGGGGGAGAGAGATCGTACGAGGAAAATAAACTGCTGGGGGCTTTTATGCTCCGGGGATTTTTTGTTGCGATTCCGGGAATCGTGACTCGCTGAGCTGGATTTCCCGCTTAAAAAAAAAAGTGTTTTTCTTCGCGAGTGGTGGGAATGGACTTATTCGATTCCTCCTTTAGCTCCTTTATTTTTAATAGCGATATTTACTTTTGGTATTAACGTGAGATTTTCACACGTCGCACTTCTAGAACGCGTTTGCTCCAACCCGTTCTTTCGAATGATATCGAAAAACCTGAATAAAAAACCCGTACGAAAAATCCCCCTGTAGTCCACCGGGCGACTATCCAAATCCTCCGAGTGATCCACATGTGGACTGACAGTTAATCATGTGGAATAGTGTGAACTTAACGTGGACTGTTGTGGACTGATGTGGATAAGTCCACATGGGGAATAATGTGGACATAAGAATATCTCCATGTGGACTCTATATGGATCCTCTTAATCCACATGTGATCCACATGTGGATTCATCCAAATCCTCCGGTGGACTTAGGGTAGTTCACATGTTTGGATTTTTCGTAAGATTTTTCAAGCTTTCAGTAATGCATATATTTTAAAGTTGCAAATATAGCACTCAAAGTAAATAATTCAAACCGGAGGACCTCGGTTACGAAGCAACTGAGACATTCCCGTTGAAAGAAAAAATAGTGACATTGCGAAATGAAATTTGGCCGCACGAAAGGGGGGGCAACTCGCAGATGAAGTTTCGCCATTTTGGATGAAGGAAGTGAGAAAATGTGGGGTGAATCGTGAGTTCGTCGCCACTTGGAAACCCATCACCGCTGTTCCCTCGTATGGTTTCGATCGTTGAAAATGTTGAAATGCAGAATAGCGTGCTCTTTCGTCACTACGCGTTTGATCGCTGCGAGGAGTCATCACACCGTGCATGACGAACGACGTTGGAAACCAGGGTTCTTTCGCAGCTGGAGATGATCGATTCGTGAATGCTTCGCGCGTCCGTCTGAGTCCCTTGCTTGTGCCGTTCTCCGACGGTGAGAGCCGACCTCCTGCTCGAGCAATATGCACCCCATACGTCACGATGACGTCACAGCATGGGTGTCCAAATTGCCACAAGCACGCCATGTGGGTAGTACTTTATGCCCATGTTGAAATTTACTTCCGAGTAAAGAGACCAAGCAGCCAAACGGGCGAATGCGTTTAGTATTTCGCCGAATCAACCGTGCAAACTGCATCGTGATGGAGCCACATGATGCTTAATTGTAGCAAAGCAGTTCTGCATTTGCACGTAAACATGGGATTCACGTACTTGAAATGCAAGAAATTCGCTTTGGACGAGAGCTTGAGCTTAAGAGCTTAATGCCACACATCAGGCGTGACGAAGTCTAGCTTCTTTGAGGCATAATAACATTTAGCGACTGAGCCCTCTGCTTCATGGGTAGGCCTCTGCATGTGCCGAAACGTGAACCCTGCTCGAGCAGCATGTTTATGTTAATTTTACTTAAAACTGAATGTAAATGTTGTGTCCATTTCATATCTATTTTACGCCAACCATTAGCAAGATAATGTCAACATGTTTGCAGAAATGTCTCCTCTATAATACGTAAACGGTGATATAAAATTAACGTATATTTTACGTAAAATTGACATTCCCGTTTACATCCCCAACTGCATATTTACATTCATTTTAATGGGAATTCCTGAACTCCTTCGTGGCTGTCAAGCGCACAAAGCAGAGACTGACGAGTGAATACAAACACGGAGTCCGCCTCGTACTCAAGACCGAGCTGTCTGGCAAAAACAAGATCGCTGCACTCAACAGTCTCGCTACCCCTGTCCTCAACTACAGCTTCGGAGTTATCGATTGGTCACCTACGGAACTCCAGGCCATCGATCGAGCGACCAGAAAACTCCTGACCATGCATCACATCCACTATACGAAGGCTACCGTCGAAAGACTCTACCTTCCGGGATGCAAGGGAGGGAGGGGACTGATCGAAC